TGAATTCATTTTTGAGTTTTCCTAATTGAATGCAAGCACGACACTTTTGAAGGATCTAAAGGTTGTTTGGTTGGGTACAAACCAATTCTATAAGGCGCATGGGCATATCGAATGGGCACACGAGGGGGTCGTGCCAAATCCAATGGGCACACCGAACGTGGGTACCAAATCCATTGGGCACTCATTCATTCGAATGGGCACACCACTCAATCCAATGGTATATCAACCGAATCCATCGAGAAAATGTCCAAGTCAATTGAAAAATGGTGTAGTATCATAACGTTATACATATATATATTATGTATACTCGATACGACTATTAATACGTAGTATTAAACTTAGTACTACGTAGTACTAGTATTAAGCTTTGGTTAAGACGTACTGTAGTAAAGTCGATAAATACGTATGTACTGCGTTCATGAGCTATTCTCAGCGGTTGTGGTAGGCACTAGCCAAGTCCAACCGGTTGACGATGTAGTCGGCCCAGTTCCACTTGGCCACGTGTTTGATGGGGTTGGTGACGTCGCGGCACTTGACGTTGGACGTGACACTGGTAAGCGCGTGGGAGTGCAGCAGCATCTCGCCGTGCGTAAAGCCATCCCACCACACCACTTCCATCTTGGACGACACTTGGTCTCGAGTGCTCAAATGTTCGTGCACGTCGAGTGCGTTGATGATCACGTCATGACTGGACAGGAACACGGACGCCGCCACGTGATTGGTCACGGGGTGGCGTGGCAGGTGCTCTGGGAAGCACACGATGCTGTACCACCAAAAGTGGCGCCGCATCACATGCACAATGTGCACTTCGGTCGAGGCAAAGTACCACAGCAGCACTTGAATCCCCGTCGTGGGCGGTCGATATAAAAAGTTGTACGCGACGTCTCGTTTCCACAGGAAAAACACTATCGGGTCGATAAATGTGGCGTGGCTGACCGTGTGCGGCAGCTCCTGGCACACCCAGCTGCAGATGGCCGTGCCGAGCGAATGGCCCATCCAGTGGGCTCTCTGGATGTCGTGGTTGGCCAGCATGGCCTGAAGCCCCACCAGCGTGTCCTTCTTAGAGGGCACGTCCTCCACCAGTTGCATCGACACGTACGGCGTCTCCACGAGCAGAATCGGCCGGTTCTGGTGCGTCGTAACTAACGACCACAGCAGCGGCAAGTACAAAATCAGGCCGGCCCCGATGCCATGCACAAACACCAGAGGCTCGGCCACGGGACTCGTCATGGCGTCGCGGTGCCAGTAACGCAGCCCCCTCGTGAGGGGGTGCCGCTGGAACCCCGCGAGTCGAAGGAACACCCCCATGATGGCGTCCATTCCGATCGTGACGGCGTACACGAGCCACGGTCGGGCGGTGGACTCGAACGGGTCCAGCGTGTGGCGGATGCAGTGGGTTGGTTTCGACGAGGACTGAGACGGGGGCTCTCGGACGTTGGTGAGGTCGTACAATCGATCGACCATCTGGTTGACATCTCGTCGGTCAAGGGGGGATAGGTGTCGCCATTCGTTCGAGTACAATAGATACGCTAGCCATGTGTGCAAGTCCGGTCTTGTGAGTTGGTCAAAGGGCGTGTGATAAAACCACTAAGTAGGGTAGTTGGTGAAGTCCACAGGTGTTTGAAGACGAGGTTACTACGGTGTAGGCTACCTCTTCGACAAACGTTTGAACGTTCGGAGTGTGTCGAAGGAGGTTGTCGAAGAAGAGTGGCACTGACGGTGGAGCGTGGCGCCGGAAGGACTGGTCGTGGTGGATTTGGGGCGGGAATCTAGCCAGGCGTTGCTTTGTGTGAACGTACCAGAGCGTGAAGAGCGTCTCAGATGCACAATACACGATCCAAGGCAATGCGGAAGGCTTCGCCAAGACAGTTCCCATCATACCCAGTTGATTCGCGATAAGACACACCAACGCAAGAGGGGTCCCGTACACGATGGCCCTACAGCATCAGTTCGTTGGACAGTTGGACTGACTAAGAATAGAGTACCGGACAGGACCTACGACGAAGACGAGGCATGCGTAATAGTCCCAGGACTTGGATGATGGGGTATTCATGCGATTCCAACGAAGGGCCTGCTTGAGGAGTTAAAGTGACTTCCTTGCCACGAGGTTTGTTTTTACTGTCATCTGACAAAATACGCTGAGTGACACGATATTATGGTTGCTTAAACGACGTAGTTGACGCTTCGTCAAATCAAAGCCAGTATGAAAACGTGAAATCCAGTCACTTGACGCGTACATGCATTCTCGATTAGTCGACAACCTTGGTCTTGTAAACAAAAGTGGGTGCACGATCTCACAAGTGGAAAAGTCTACATGGCAGATCAACTTCTCAAGCTGTACATCCCACAGGCCTGACGCGACCAGTGTCAGCGTGAACATTCGATCAACGCCTTTCATCCTGCCACTCAAAGCGTCAGTTGCACTCGCTCACGAAGTAAGACAAGGACAACAAACTATTAACACTACAGCACCAGTCCGGTGCCCCTAACCAGCTCGAATAACAGCCATTGAGTGAGCGCAGCAGGCCACCACAAGCGATTTATATAATATATGCACATATACTCTATCTAGCTCTAAGCTTACACAATGCGAGTGGAAATTCATATCAAGAGAATTGCTGTAAATATACCAGTACAGTGGGCACCATGGTCAAAACTTACTGTAACTCTCGTTGTAACGCTATGAAACTTTGATGGTGAATGTCCTCAATGACGCAGCCTACGTCACTGAGGGGACCCACAATTACTAAATACAAATTCCAAATACAATCGGTTTTTGGGGTAGGACGTTCCTATGTTGACGGGGACAAATTGTGTCGACTAATCCCAAAAATATAGAGGTGCAAACAACGCTCAATCGCTGATTGGATAATGAGGTCAAACGTGTTTGATTTTATCCAATCAGAGTAGGCGATGCATACAATCCAGATCACTTGGTACTATTTCCAAAGGAAATTGCAGTTACAAATTCTCAGTCTTTTTATACAAACGGGCATAAAATCTTTCGCCAGTCACTACAATACACTCAAGTTCAAGGTCCACTTTCACTTTGCCCTAGTAAGCCGGGGCGACATTCACCATGGGCAAGGAGTCGAAGACATGGGACTACTACGCGTGCTTACTTTTTATTGTGTGGCCTATTAGGTATAATATACTTAAACGACCTGATTGGTACCTAACACCGCATAGGTCGATCGTGTACTTCACACCAGTGGCCTTTGGTTACCTTCTGGCGAATAGACTGGGCTTGGTTGGCCCCGAGTTGCCTATTGACATTTCGCTGCTGTGGATGGTCTACTGTGCCTCGGAAACGATCTTTACGTTAAACTACCTCTGTACAAAACAACGACTGGCGAAACCTAGGGAGGACCCTCCGCAGTTACTGGCGGAGCTGGCATCACGCCGCCACGCGCCAGTGTCTGTGCTGGAGTTCTTTGAATCCATGCTTCGACATACTCCTGACGTCAAAACATTTGTGGAAGAGGTGCGTAGTTTAACAATCACTCTCTTTCCAATATGCACAAGATTCACGACCTGGTAGTGGTTTTACAACACTCCCTTCGAATGCCTCACGAGACCAGACCTCCGCGTCCTTCTGGCGTATATTTTCTATTCCAAGGAATGGACCAAACTCCCCTCCCTTGACCGACGAGATGTCAACCAGATGGTCGATCGATTGTACGACCTCACCAACGTCCGAGAGCCCCCGTCTCAGACCTCGTCGAAACCAACCCACTGCATCCGCCACACGCTGGACCCGTTCGAGTCCACCGCCCGACCGTGGCTCGTGTACGCCGTCACGATCGGAATGGACGCCATCATGGGGGTGTTCCTTCGACTCGCGGGGTTCCAGCGGCACCCCCTCACGAGGGGGCTGCGTTACTGGCACCGCGACGCCATGACGAGTCCCGTGGCCGAGCCTCTGGTGTTTGTGCATGGCATCGGGGCCGGCCTGATTTTGTACTTGCCGCTGCTGTGGTCGTTAGTTACGACGCACCAGAACCGGCCGATTCTGCTCGTGGAGACGCCGTACGTGTCGATGCAACTGGTGGAGGACGTGCCCTCTAAGAAGGACACGCTGGTGGGGCTTCAGGCCATGCTGGCCAACCACGACATCCAGAGGGCCCATTGGATGGGCCATTCGCTCGGCACGGCCATCTGCAGCTGGGTGTGCCAGGAGCTGCCGCACACGGTCAGCCACGCCACATTTATCGACCCGATAGTGTTTTTCCTGTGGAAACGAGACGTCGCGTACAACTTTTTATATCGACCGCCCACGACGGGGATTCAAGTGCTGCTGTGGTACTTTGCCTCGACCGAAGTGCACATTGTGCATGTGATGCGGCGCCACTTTTGGTGGTACAGCATCGTGTGCTTCCCAGAGCACCTGCCACGCCACCCCGTGACCAATCACGTGGCGGCGTCCGTGTTCCTGTCCAGTCATGACGTGATCATCAACGCACTCGACGTGCACGAACATTTGAGCACTCGAGACCAAGTGTCGTCCAAGATGGAAGTGGTGTGGTGGGATGGCTTTACGCACGGCGAGATGCTGCTGCACTCCCACGCGCTTACCAGTGTCACGTCCAACGTCAAGTGCCGCGACGTCACCAACCCCATCAAACACGTGGCCAAGTGGAACTGGGCCGACTACATCGTCAACCGATTGGATTTGATTCGCCAACAAGATGTCGCGTGTACATGGTGGTGACGTTTAATAGTACCCCGAGACTGACAAAGGTTTCACACGTTTTACAGTAGTCCTTACGAATTGCAATAGGGGGAGTCAATGTAGGATACTGTAGTTCATGTCTGGATGCACACTCATCACTGGCTCTGCGACATCCGCAGCAGCACCATTCATTTGACATGAATTGCATGACTGGCGCCCAGCCGCGCGCCAAGGAAACCAGCTCAGAGATAGCTAGTTCTCTCAGTTAACAATATACCTTGTTCTACACACCTTCCTCTGTGCGCCCCATTTCAGTCATCATCATGCGGACGAAGCGTCACTCTTCCCGCGGGCTGTCGACTCACTCTCAACAGCCCACGTCATCGTCGTCGTCCTATGTAGTCCATCGAAGAACGATGGCAACTTGTATTGCCTCTATAACGAGAACTTCTATAGCAACGATCACCTTCCTGATGCTTCGCCAACAATCTATCGATATCGATTGGACTTTTTTCGTGGTGTTTGGAATGACACTAATTGGCCGGCATTCTGATTGGCTAATAAATATATCTGTCGCTGATACTTCCATTTATATTTGGTTGTGTCGATTCATTCTCGATGCACAGCTTAGAATAAACTCAGCAATAACTTGGCTTTTTGTTGTTAGTTATGGCAGCGCTACAACCGAGTCATCTTGACCTGCATGATGCGTGTCTTGGGTTCGAACATGCGCGTCATTCGCTAGTCCTTCCCAGTCCACTTGCATGAGCCATACGATGCCATACACGGCGCATATCAAGAACGCCACAGAGATACCCAGCCATAACCCCACGATGCCATCCGCCACCATATTCGCCAGCATTAGTCCCAGCGGCAGGCCAATCAATAAGTTGGCGACTCCGTTTACAATTGCACCTACAGTGTGTACTATAGTTGGTCGAATATCATATATATATTATGGTTGTGTTTATTCTAAACTGGACCGACATGGAGAATGTATCGACACGACCAAATAAAACATTATTAGCCAATCGGATTGCAGGAAAAAAGCATCAACGTCAAAACCAATCAACAACACATTCATGTGGGACTGTTACATATTAGTGTCATGGGCATTAATGCTGCACATTTTTCTTTTTTAAATACAACATTCGGTAACGTTATCAAAAAAATTCGATCGATGGATTTGGCAAACCAGCACAAAAGTCCAAATTATTGGCTGAAAATACAAAATATATTATATTTATAGATAAATGGAACATACCTCGAGTTTGCTGCCCACTGCCCCGAAACACACCCATGATACCCACATATATGGCGACGGCGGTCTGAAATGGCGCACACACGAGCAGAAGTTGTGCGGTGAGGGTCACAATGTTGTCATCGGGGGTATAAGCATAAGGAAACGAGTGCCGAAAGGACACCATGCAAATGGCGGCGACCATTCCCAGCAATCCACACATGCCAATGCACTGCCACGCGGCCGTTCTGGCGCGTTGCGGGTCATTTGCTCTAATAGTGTAACCAAAATGATCAGAAGTTCCACACAAACTCATTGTGAAAAGAGAAGAGAGAGACTACTGGATGCAAATAATATATATTACGTACTAGAAATATATATTATTTGCGTCCAGTAGTCTCTCTCTCTTCTCTTGCTCTTTTCAGTAGTCATTCGAAGTATATACTAGTAGTAGTATATATAGTATTATATAACGGTGGTCGCCTTCGAGTCGAATTTGGAATATAACACCCGACCAGCCAATCAAATCCCACAACACGATTCTAGTGACCAATCAATCAAACTCGTACAAATGCAGTACAAAAATTCGATCATATATATATATGGAGTTGGCGAATCCGCACAAAAGTCCACATTTTGCCCATTTTGGGTAAAAAGGCAATAATATCTCAAACACAACAACTCGGCTCGATATGAAATGGCAATGCATGTCAAGAGTTTTAGCACATACAGTACCCGAGAGCATTTCCGACTCGAACAGACCCGGCGACTGCTACTGGCCCGTACAACATATGGAAAAATCCACGAAAACCATGCATGCACACGTCAGCACTGATCGCGACCTCGGCATTCGGGAGCATCCCTACACGACCGAAAGCTACAGTTAGTAATACTAGCTAGCGCGGCGCTACTACTACCTGCAACAATAGAGGCGATGGAAATACCCCATAGCTCAAACCCCTGCATGGCGGCGCCAGATATGCCGAGATGGAGCACTTCGGGCACCAACGTCCACGCTGCGTGGAGGTCCCAGCCTAGCTAGCACTTATTTGGTCAACACTATTTAGCTGACAAAGTTGTACACGAACGGCAGACCTTTCCACTCTTGGCGATACACGTTGCTCTGCACCAAGTACGGCCACAACAGCAACGGCGCCAGCAACGCCATGATCACGACCGCCACCGCGCGGCCAAGATACCCCAGAGGTGTGTGGAACATGAGGACGTAGTTGATGGCGATGGTGGCCACGACACTCACGCACGACACACCCATGAGAGGTGTAACGATGTTTTGGCCTATAATTGCTTAGAAATTTCTGAACGTTGAAACGAGATACGCACTCACTTTGAAGAACGCGGCGTAAAAGGTCGTAGAAGAGCGCGACGGGTAGAATCGGCAGCATGATCAACACAAGGTGACTCGCCAGCGTCGCTACGTCGTCGGTTTGGCCAAACAAGAGCAAAATGTCCTTGCAAAAGATGCCGAGGACCATCGTGGGAGCCAAGAGCAGGTTGCCCTGCGACGAATGCACATATGACTCATGCGATGGAAGAAGATGGAGGGTAACGTTACCGCGAGCCAGCCGGCTTGGAAGACAAGGCCGAGGTCCGTGGCCTGCCCGGCTCCAAATGACTGCGAGCACAACGTGTCCATAGCGGACCCGGTGCCCCACACGACGGTCCACGCCGTGAGAAGCAGGAACGTCATGCCCATGGCGATCGCAGAGATGTATTCCTTGCTCGTGTTGGCGCTGAGATGGCCCATCATCATGACAGGTACCACCGCCGACACGTGGTCGAGTGTTGAGCTCAACACCTGCATACATCATCACTCGTAGAGTTCGAGATATATAACAGCATGCGTCGTACCAGCGGAAGCGCAAGACCAAGGAGAGGACGTAACTCGTACCATCCAACCACTTGGCCGAGCTGGGCCATCAACAAGGCCCGACTTTGCGTTGAGTGCGAAACCGACGATGACAGCAGCTTGGTGTGTTCCGTCGGCGTCTCGTCCGACAAGGCCACGCACGACACCATCTCTCTCTCACGTCCACGACGGGGCTGCATCGGTACACGGGCATAATCTGTAGCCATTTTGTACCTGGGAATGGCGATGATGATGATTGAAGATTTAGCCGAACGATGCACGCGTTTCAAAAAGATTACCATAGTAGTTTCGATATTCTTTCCAAAGATCGCCACACAACAAACGCAATCACAAGAACCATCCGCCAATCAAGTCACTGGGTAAAAATAATCCACCAATCAAATCACAGATTGACCTTCACCAGAGTACAAACCATACAAAGATTAGTATATACAGTATATATTTTGCCCCAATTGGGTCAAACGTTTGGATTGGCAGAAATGTGCCAGAAAAACGTGATTTGATTGGCTTTGGCCGTCTAGAATCATTCGAGGTTACAAGCCGCCATATTTGGCCTGTGTAACCTCCGAATCTCGAAACAACGAAGGGCTCCATGACAGCAGTAGTCGAAGGGAATATGCTGCAGAAGGTGAAGAACGATGGATATCATGATTGTATTGAAGGTGAATATGCTTGCATTTGGCTGGGGTAGAGAGGGGACTGTCACAGGGGGGGTCCCCCCAGTTTGCCCCACATCCATTTGAGGCTGAATTTAAAATTATATTGGGCTTTATATATTGGACGCTGGGAGTTTTGTTTTTATTTCATTTTCTGCCTATTTTTATACTAAGGGGGGGGCAGCCATCCGTTTACCATCTGGCACATTATTCTCAGTTTGCATTATCGTTAGAGTACTGTAAGCGGAAATGGAACATGTTCTCGACGGTGCTGGGGGTAGCGTCCGTGAAGGATATGTCGTGGCGCTGACGCCGCGACCGAGCCTCATGTCGATGCATGATCATGATACAGACAAAGACGGGATGCACGTGGAGACGACGGAGGCAAGTCCGAGCAAGTGTCGCCAATGGTGTTCGAATCCAAGCGTGCTCATCCTCATGGGATGTGTGTTGGGTATCGTCCTCGGGTGTCTCTTGGGAAAATATGGAGCGTCCAAGGAATTGCTCACGTGGGTGTCGTTGCCTGGCGAACTGTTCCTTCGTGCACTCACATGTGTCGTGGTGCCCCTGGTGTTTGTGAACATCTTCCTCTCTGTTGTCGACATGCTGCAAGCCGGCCATGCCGCCAAGAGCGGGCTCTACACCCTCGGATACTTTGGGCTCACCACAGTTCTCTCCGTTCTCATGAGCATCGTGTCCGTGACTGTCTTCAAGAAGTGGTTTTCCCACACCGCACTTTCCCAGGCGAACGTCGTTGGGAGTGCCGGTATGCTGCTCGTGCCGTGCGGCAACTCAACCAACGCAGCGTCGGTCCGGTGGTTTCCCAACGGCACACTGGTGTGCGCCGCGGCCTCTGACGCGTCCTCCCCTCTCGTCCTTCCCTCGCAATCCCCTACCGCCCCGCCGACGCTTTCCAAGACGATCCAAGATCAAATCTTTCGCGCGCTCATCCCCGACAACATTGTGCAGCAGTTTGTGACGGGCAACTACCTCGGTACGCTCTTCCTATGCCATTGTATCGTTTGTCCTTTGAAACTTTGGACTCTCATATTGATTTGCCGAATCCATCGATCGATTTCTTGCACGTAATTTTGTATGTAAAAAAGTGTCCAGCGGTGACATATCACACTATTTTGAGTCACACACTAATTAGTTGTGTATTGGTTGACCGGAGGAGTTTGTCTTGCAATCGGATTGGCTAAATAACACTATTTTGCGGTACACACAAATCCGTTGTTGTTTATGGGTTGACCCGAGGATTTTTAATCGATCGATTCTTTGTCCTGACTTTTGTATGTAAAAGATATTCCATTGTCACACTAATTTCAGTCACACACCAATTCAATGTTGCATTGGTCGTCAACAGTGGATTTGATTGGCTACTTGATATTCTGGGTTTTGATTGGTCGATATATCGCATGTCTGCCGACTCCAATTTCGGATCGACAATATCATGTTCCTATTGTTCTCATATTCATTGCAGGTATCATGGCATTTGCGATTCTGTTGGCCGTGTCCATGGACAAAGTGACGCCGCGCCCGGTCGGCATCGTCCAGCTCTGTGGAGAACTCAACGCGATGCTGCTCGTGTGTATCCGCTTTATCATCGACCTCACCCCCCTCGCCGTGCTTTCGCTCGTGGCCGGCGGCCTCGGCACTACCACCGACTTCATGGCGGCCGTGGCGGATGTCGGCATCTTTCTCGTGTCGTTTCTTGTGGCGGTACAGTTTTGAGCTCATACTCGGAATATCCGCATTGTATTTGAATTATATTTATTTATTTAAACTATCAAAACCAAACAACCGATTTTACGATTGATCACGTAATTCTCTCGTGTTCAATGAGACGACGACGTGGACACCTCTGGAGCTTTTTTAAACGTCCATGTTTGTCCATGATCGTTGTTGTTGTATCGATATATTTATATATATTGTGATAAATTGTTGCGATGAAAATAATATAGATTTGAGATTATTATTTTCCGGCGCATTGCAACCGATCACGAATCGCTCCGATCGGTCACTCTGAAAATACTTGTATTTATTGTGAATTCGCTATAAACTTCCAAAATTCGCGTGGTTGGTCGAATCAATACAGTATGGAATCACGCTGGAGTTCTGATTGGTTGGCAGTATACTTGTCCTTTCTGTAAGAGCCAATCAAATCCACTCAAAATTGGATTGACCAATAGCGGCGATTCGTGATTCGATTCGACGGGGTCTGAAAATTTGTACCGAATATACCACAATATATATTACATCATTCTTTGTTGGCTGTTTTTCCTTCGTGCATTGTGTGGCAGATCGGAATAACCAATCCAATGTCGCGCCGAATAGAGATATTTATACTATTGATTTTTAAATCGAAATGTTAGTCGAATGCATATCGTGCAATACCATCAAACAGGTTCTCATATATATCTCGTGGGCGTAGGTGATGCTTCACTACTGGGTCACCCTCATGGGTTTCTTATACCTGGCGCTCCGGACATCCCCGCTCCAAGCCATGAAAGCATGCTGGCCGGCCCAAGTGTTTGCATTTTGCAGCGCCAGCTCCGCCGCCACCCTGCCCGTGACGCTCCAGTGCGGCGAACAAGCCCATGTCCCATCCAGCGTCGGATCATTCATCCTCACCATGGGGGCCACGTTGAACATGAACGGCACGTCCATCTACTTTCCGTGCGCCGTCGTGTATCTGGCCGTGTCGACAGGCGACGAAGCCAAGTTTACAGTCGTGTCGTACATTTTGCTGGCGCTGCTGAGCACCATGTCGGCGGCAGCGGCGGCCCCCGTCCCGTCGGCCGCGCTCGTGCTTGTGTTGCCCATGTTTAACGCCGTCTGTGGTAAAAACACTGTACTGATGATGGAGGTTTCGACTTGGATATATATATATTGTCCTTTTACCCAAAATTTGGCTGACTTTTGTGCTGATTCGCCAAATCTATCGATCGATTGTGTTTTTGTCCTGACTATTGTATGTAAAGATCGTCTAGTTTTACACTCATTGAAACCACACATTGAAACCACACACTAATTCGATGTTGAATTGGTCGTCAGCAGTGGATTTGATTGGCTACTTGATTCTTGATCTGGGTTTTGATTGGTCGTATATCGATTGTCTGCTATTCGATTGAGAGCACCCCACTCCAATTTCGAATCGACTATGAAAATAGTATAGTATTTTGTATTGATTCCACCGACTTGGAAAGGGATCACTGGTTTGTTGGCCGTGTAAACGTGTTGGGTTGTTGGACATTTGACGATTGTGATGTTTTGTTTTGTGGGGAATTTACTCACCACGGGAGGTGTAGGCACGACGAATGCACCGACGCCAGCCAACTTTTCGTACTTGCTGGCGATGGATTTCCTGCTGGATCGGTTCCGCACGTGGCTCAATGTGTCGGGGGACCTTGTGGTGGCGCAATGCGTGGCGGCGATGGAGAAGCAAGCGATGCCGCCGAGGCGGGTGTCGTCGTCGACGGACCCCGAAGAAGGAGACTCGAGTTTGAGCTCTCCGTAGACAGATCTGCCAACTACTATTTACAACTACTAACGTTACTATTAAAGAAACCCATGGGATTGCATGGATCATTATGCTTGCCAATGATGCAGTTTGTTATTTCAACCAAAATTTGGTATTTTCGGTAGAGTACCTGAAATCGTCGACACGTCATTTACTTCGGTTTGTTTCGCAAATGTCATTGGCTACTTTGGTCGATTACTGCGTCGATTTTGCTTCGTCGATTCGATTGGCAGCCCCAGTCTATTTTGAAATCGATTTATTGTGTGTTCTCAAAATTTCCTCCGGCGATTGGTTGAATCAACCGCCGGACCTGCGAAATTTCATATAAAACTATCAATCAATACTTTTAGCCAATCATATTGCAACCTTCATTCTTTATAGCCAATCATATTCCTTTTCTCGATTAGTTGGCGATTTTACCCCACAATATGCAAATTTGACTGAAAAGCACAATACCAATAACGTTATAAATAAATACACATACACCCCAAATGCACGATTCGATATATTTCGAACTTCAACGTTTTAATACTATGAAGTGTATATTGTACAAATATTGCAGAAAATATATGTTTGACTCGGACAAATGACAATTTTTGAGTGAAAGAGCTCTATAAATCGATAGTTTACAGGGTCGTATGGTGCAAGAAGCCTAGAAACGACGAGAATTTGAGTCCCACTTGGGAAGTTATTCCTCCTGGGGGATTCAAAAGTAGGAATGCTAAGACCACAAAATCGATAGAGCTGGACAAGAGGAAGAGAACTTGTGTCTCGGATTGAGTTTATACAAAGAAATGATTGAGATATTAAAATTTTCCCTGGCCCCTCCTCTCTTAGGAATATATGGACGAGGTCAACTTTTGGCCTTAGGGGTGGCTGCCTGATCACTTGAAATTTGTATGTATGATTAACCGGATTAGTCAAGGTTGTTAACCGGATGTCAATTGAACCCACACATTGCCATGGCGAGACCGACGAAGAAGTCGCGAGTAGCGAAGGCGAAAGCCAGACTGACAGGCCGCTTCGTCAACGCCAATGCGATCACATCTCACGAGACTACCACCGACATCACCTCCGATGCCCAATGTGAGGATTCTGATGAATTCATCAACGGTGGCGAAATCGATGTCGTCTTCTTTGACGAATGGTAT